CTGCCCTGGAGATCTCTTTCAAATATCTTAAGACTTGTAAAGGGACAAAAGACAAACATGACAATGGTTCTGATAAGTTTAACATGTACTTAAGTTTCATGGCAATTGAGGGATTGGGTATTTTTGTTTGTTCTGTTTTTTACATGTAACCGTAACTTCTGGCTGAAATTCAACCCCTACCCATACTTAGCAGCAGGATAACTAATAATATTTAGTAAGGAAAGAAAGTAGTCTGAAACTTTGATTAAGAAAAATAAGGCACTTTACCTGGACAAATTTCAAATGGATCCATTTAAAATGAAACTAAGTGGCACTTAACTGCTTTGCAAATTGGGACCTATTTATCTCAGCAAAATGATTCAAGTCTTAATTTATCCCTAAAATTGGCTTTATTATTACATTTAATTGTACTAGAAGCTTGTTGAAGACTTGTAGGTTCTCTCTGTCCCTTCAAACTGCTCTTTATACAGACAGTAATTGAATATTGGATGGAAGGACTCAATTTCCAAAGAAATACATTTCTAATATTTTTCTCTTTTTATTGCAGAAATTGAAACAAGTTGAAGAAACAAAAGAGGATCCTGAGAATAGATTATCTAAACTTTCCCTGGAGTCATTCAATAACTATAACAGCAATACTGTGGTTTCATTAGAAAAAGAGAACTCTCTGAACAAGGCTGAAGGACAAAAGGAAGAAAGAACCAAAAATGAGGCAGCGTCTCTGAGTGGCTCCGACGGCCCCGGGAAGGACAACTTGGAATCTTTGAGTGACTCTTTGTACGACAGCTTCTCTTCCTGTGCGAGTCAGGGTTCCAATGATGCATAAAGGACCTTTTTTCCCCACCCTTAGTGAGCTGGAAATGAAGCACTTAAGAAACAGGGGTTGGGAGGGGGCAGGTAGAGATGACAATAAACTGTTCCAACACCAGAGCTGTTGTCAGAGTCACAGCAAGCGACCCACTGGAGCTTGCTTCTCGGACAGGGCAATACAGATAGACTCCATTTGTTGTGTTTCACAAGAATTAAAAGTAAACACACCCACGAAACAGAAGTCTTACTTTTGCACTTTTTTTTGAATACTTGTACAGAAGTTGTAAATTTTTTGGAAAAGAAATTATATTTGTAGCAAAAAAAAAAAAAAGCAATAAATTGAATCAGTGCCATGCTCTTGAAATGCTGTACTAAGTCTTTTAGAAGTCAATGATAATATATTTTTAAAAATTACAACTAAAGTTTGTGTTCAGTCCATCATCCTAGTGCTCAAGTTGTTTGTGGGTACACTCCGTAAACCTAAAACAAGGCCTGCCAAAAAACAAAGGCTCATTGTAATCTCCATCTCACGATCTTGTTTTGATATAAACTTTAATTCTAGTGCAATTTCAAAATTGTCACCAGAGAGAGTCAGGCTCTAGTAATAAGTATAATTCTGCTTCTACTGAGAAAAGTAAAGGGTACCGAAGTGTGACACTGATCCGTAGGGATGTGTAGCAGAAGTGACCTAATTCTATTTTCAACAGCAGATTTTCCCTGCAAACATTTCCTACAGCCTCTCCTACTTAGTCCTTTGCTATGATTCGGAACATTTTTTGTTGATTTTCATGTTCCTGCTCTTTTTATTAAAATCTGGACAATGTAGAATGAAAGCAATTTTCTATTTGCCATGTTCACTTTTTAAAAAAAAAAAAAATTTAAATGGTGCTATGAAAAATTCCTACTTTTTAATATCCTTTTTTTTTCTACAAAGTCTGTTTATATGTAAGGATAAATTCTATTTTAAAGGTTATGTGTATTTTTTCTAGATGTGAACTATTTATAATTGCTTTTGTACAGGAGCTTGTAAACTAGGCATAATAGAAATATTTTTAGGATCTGTATGGTTACTTTAGTACACATTTGTTCCTTTAAAGACTATCGTATGATCAGTGTTATTTGGTAAATCTGTGCAATTTGTTATATTTGAATTCTGTTGTCTTAAATGAAAATTATGTAAAGCGTCATTGTCTTTCAGACTTTTAAAAGTTCTTTTGTTTCATTTCTGAATAAAAGTCCTACCACAATCGAACCTTCTGAAAGTTTAAAAGAACTTGTTTGAGGAGCCTTTGGCCCCGTTCGTTAGGTGTTTGACTCTCACAGGTGCCCCAAGGGCGAGCGCCCCAAGGAATACGCAAGCGGGCCTCCTGCTCCAGAGTCGCTCGGCCTGTTAGGTGGGCGTCTGCAGACTAACCAGCAGCGGTCTCCGCACTCAGCCTCCCCGGGGGTTAGCCGGCCAGAAGCGCAAGGAAGGGGGGTGCAAAGGGCGGGCGAGAAGGCGGCGGAGGGAGACCCGGAGCGGTCGCTGCCGCGCAATTACAAGAAAGTGATTCACGCCCGTTTCCAGAGCTGCTCTGCCCGCGGGGTGGGGAAGTGACCAGCGTCCCCGCCTGCGAGAGCTGCTTCCAAGAGGTGGCCCGAGGAGGTGAAGGGTGGCAACGTTCCCGAAGC